GACCTTGAACTCATAGAGATACGCCTGCCTCTGCTTCCTGAGTGCTGGGATTAGAGGCGTGCACCACCATGCCTGGTTCTATTAACCATTTTCACGCACACACACACACACACACACACACACACACACACACAGATGAAGCTTCCATTGGACTTTCCATTTTCAACATTCCCTTTGAAGAAAGTTTCAGTCTCAAATTTTTAAGACCTGTGAATATAGAATTCCTACCATCTTACCTGAATGCATTAATGTTCTATTTCATATATGCAGATGGTTCCTAAGTGATAATGGTTCAAATTAGGAATTTTTGACTTTAAGATACTGTGAGAGTAATATGCATAAAGTAGAAAACATAGTCTAAATTTTACATATTGATCCAATTGCATTGAGTTGCTTGTTTTTGGATACAGTTAATAATTTGCATGAGATAGTCAACACTTTATTGTCAAATAGGCTTTGTGCCAGGTGCTTCTACCCAGCTGTAGGCTAATATAAATATTCTGAGTATATTTAAGGTGGGCTAGGCTAACTATGATGTTTGGTAGATTAGATATATTACATGCATATTTGAAAATTTTATTTTTACTATTATTGTTGTGTGTGCATGAGTGTGAGTGTGCACACTGTGGTATATATCCGGAGGCTGGAAGACAACTTTGTTTTCCCTTCTACCTTTATTTGTGTTCTGGGGATCAAACTTGCGTGGTCAGGCTTTCGAGATAAGCACCTTTCTTTACCTGCTGAGCCATCTTGCTGGCCCTTTAGATGATTTTTTTTAATTTAATTATTTTTATTACATGTGTATATGTTTTGCCTGTGTGTGTGTAAGTACATCCATGTTGTGTAATGCCTTTGAGGCCAGAAGAGGATGTCAGATCCTCTGGAACTGCAGTTACAGGTCATTGTCAGCCACCATGTCAGTGCTGAGAACCAAACCCAGTTCCTTTGCAAGAGCAGCCAGTGCCCTTAGTGACTGAGCTATCTTTTCAGTCCTCTTGGATGAATTTTTGACATAGATATTTGCAACTTGTCATAGAGTTATTGAAGTGTGGCTCCATTATATGTCAAGGAATATCCTAATTAAGGTTTTGACACTAGTAAAAAAAAAGGTTAGAACTCTTTGGGGCTCCCAAGCATGGAGTTTTAAATATGCTGAGCAATTAATCTAAAGAATAATAAAACGCCTAATTAAAACCACTTAATTAAGTCCATTTAAGGGATGGAGAGATGGCTCAGCAGTTAAGAACCCTGGTTGTTTTGCCGAAGACCCAGATTCGAATCCCAGCATCCACATGGCAGCTAACAACTGTCCGTAACTCCACTTCCAGCGGATCCAACAGCCTCTTCTGTTCTCTGTGGGCATTGCACGACATGGGTGCACTTACCTACATGCAGGCAGTACACTCATACACATAAAATAAAAATAATAAATAAAATATTTTTAAAAATTGAGTCCCTCTAACCTTCATTTTCAGCAAAGTTACTTTTCTACCTGACCAGATCAGCCAAGAAGGACACCAATTGCCTCAGTTTTCTGACTAAGCTTTCATTAACCAGAGAAGGCTAAACACATATTGCAGGAAGAAAGTCTGAAGTTCATCGTCAACTTGACTGGATAGAATTATGCCACGTACCACTGTCCTCTACGTTGGTTCCTTAGAGAATCATCCACAGACCACTGTTCACAGACCACTGTTTGTTCTTTGAGCAGAACAGACTTTGCCCCAGACACTGTATATTTTCCAAACGTACTGACTTTTCATAAAACTATTTTTAGCCACTTACAATTGCCCCTAACTCTGATTTGTCTCTCACTTATAGATACGAAGCAGGGATGGGAATATAATTTAGTGGTAGAATATGTGCTTAGTGTATACAAGGCCCTGAGCTCAACTCCTAGAACAAGAAGTAGACAATAATCCTATAAGCATGAGGTAAACCAGCATCTTTCATGTATGTCCAACATGTGGCCGATGAGCCACATGCATCCCAAGATGGTTATGAATATGGTCCAACACATTTGAAGATAAAATAAAAAATATTAGATACCCATGAATCATTTCAGGCTTGTGGGTGATTACACTATGTGATTACTTCCATGCATGTAATAAATCTATATACTTTTCCTCCTATTTAATGTTTTTGTCAGTTTATTCCAGCAAACATTAAGGGGTAAAGGGAATAATTATCATCGTACGCACACACAACAAATGTCATTATTAAGATTCTTTGATTGCCGTTGATTGCCGTGCATGGTGGCGCACACCTGTAGTCCCAGCACTTGGGAAGCAGAGGCAGGCAGATCTCTGTGAGTTCAAGGCCAGCCTGGTCTACATAGTGAGTTCCAGGACAGCTGGGGCTACAGGGAGACCCTGCTTCAAAAATACAAAAAAAAAAAAAATTCCTTGATTTAGTTTAACTTTGTTCTAAGTTAACAGCCTTGGGGCGTGCTGACATCAACTTTATTCCCATAGTCTTTACATTGGTTATTATATAATGAATTTAGGCGTTATTATTTATTTATTTATTTATATTTTGGTCTTTTTGAGACAGGGTCTTCCTGTAGCCCCAGCTGTCCTGGAACTCACTATGTAGGCTGGCCTTGAACTCATAGAGCTCTGCCTGCCTCTGCCTCCTAACCAGCTGAATTTAGGCTTTTAAAACCAATCCTACTGCAAGTGTCATGCTGAGAACAAAAACTGTACTGTGTACCTTTGTTTTCCTCTCTCTTTCTCTCTCTCTCTCTCCCCAGAAGATCAAACTCAGGATCCTATAAATATTATGAAAGTGCTCTACTCCTGAGCTATACCACTGGCCCGGATTTCATAAATATTTATGTCTGATAATGGATGCTCAACTATTTCATATATTGTCTTTGAAGCAACTATTGACACTGTGGATATTTCTCCTATATACCCTCAGGATATGGGAAAGAGAGTGTATGCAGGTGAACAGCTGGAAGAAATCACTAGTTCTAAGTCTTTGAATCTGTAACATGTAAAATATAATTAGTAAAATAGTCCTAAGAATTCAGTTTAGTGGACACAGGATTTAAGTTCGACTAGGTCTTAATCTAGTTATGTGATTTTAAAACAGTTCAATTATTAACCTTATAATTTTAATCACTGAATACTTTGGCAAACTCCCTTGCTGTTGAAACATTAACCAGTAGAGTTGACTCAAGCCCAGGGGTTCTGCCATTTTGGGCTCACGTAGGAGGCATTAGAGGAAAACTTTCACAATATGTTCTAGGAGCAAGACTCAGAAAAATATTTTTGATTGGTTAAAGCTTAAATTTTGGGTTACTGTTGAGTTGGGCTTCAGAATGAGTGCCATCTTAGTCTAATGGCCATCTTTTTTTTTTTTTTTTCTCAGTTTGTGAAATGGAGATTATACTATCTACCTTTTAGGGTTACTGTGAGGACCAAATGAGAGACTACATGAAATTTGTTTTGTAGGTCAACTACTGGGGAAAATATTCATTGGGGACCTATTATATAGGAGGCAGTAAATTTGATGGTTAAGATTTAAGATCAGGTTGCTGGAGAGACTGTTTTTGCAGAAGACCCAGGTTTGAATCCCAGCATCCATATGGCAGCTAACAATTGTCTGTAACTCCAGTTCCAGGGTATCTGACAGTCTCTTCTGTCTTCCTTGGGCATTGCACGACACGAGTGTACTTACCTACATGCGGGCAATACACTCATGCACATAAAATAAAAATAATAAAATATTTTTTTAAAAAAGGATTTAAGATCAAATTGAAAGTCTCATCAAACTCAAGTCTCAGTGGTGGCTCACACTTGTAGTTGCAACACTCGGAAGATTGAGGCAGGAAGATTGCTGTTAGTTCTAGGGAAGCCTTGACCACAGCATGAGGCTGTCTCCAAAAATAAACCAAGGCCAGTAAGATGGCTCAGTGAGTAAAGGTGCCTACCGGTAAGCCTGCCGATCTGAGTTAAATCCCCAGGACCCTTATGGTTGAAGGAGAGAACCAAGTTCTCTTGCAAGTTGTTCTTTTACCTTCGCATGTGTCATAGGGCGCGCGCGCGCGCACACACACACACACACACACACACACCACACACACACTAGATGCAATCAAATTTGAAAAGAAAAAACAAAATAAATTAAGGAATGAAATTTCCTGAGGGAAATTCAGTTTTGTAGAAAATATGTATACACAAATGTTACAATGAAGTAAACACTGTATTGGAGATAAATGAAATTGCATTGGTCCCACAGAGGAACTAGAAGGGTTCAAAAGATAAGTGCTATTTAAATATGTCAGATGGAGAAAGCAGCATTATATAGTTTTGTCTCTTGACATAGCTTTTTGTGGTTAGAATGGTCTAGAACTCATAATGAGCCAAACCTGGTTTCAAGCTATCGCTTTAGCCTCACATGGAATTACAGGGTTTTGCTTGTTTTAGGAGCACGGAAACTTCAACAACATGGTGTGTTAGGGGATGGTGAGAAATTCAACATGGCTGAGACAGGATTGGAAAAGAATGGATGTGGACCACCGTATTTATTTGCTAAGTATTACATTATGGGTAAAGATTGGGGTGGCTCCAAGTGAAGGCAAGCGATTTATGTTCCCACGTTGGCTTCGGACTATCTCATTTTATTGAAAAACTTTTTAAGTGTGAAAAACTCAAGCGACTCTGCGGAGACGTGGAGAAAACCGGGTACACTAGCCTAGAAGAAGGCAGACACCTAGCACCACTCAATCTCCCACAGATGCCCAGATTTAAAACATCCGGATTCAGCGCAAGGGAGGCGCAAGCCAGCGGCGCGCGGCACTGTGGGATTTGTAGTTCGGGCTTGCGCCTGCAACTCCTACGAAAGCTCGACTGTGTTCTGGAAAGAGCCGAATTCGGACGGGACGTGGGGCTCAGACGCCCTGGATGCGGGGCAGCGGGTCGCCGTCTCTTCCTCGGCTGGCGACCCAGTGTGCGAAGGGGACCGAGCCTCGGCCCCGTAGCCCGAGCAGCGACGCACACTCTGTGCGTCATGACGGGCTGAGGCGGATGATGAATTCCGGTGAGCCAGGGTTGCTGTGTCACTCAGCGCGGTCGGCGCGCCCCTTCCCCGCCGCCCTTCCGCTCCAGCTGTAGGCTCTTCCGGTCTCCCGCCGCCCCACACTTGCCGGCCGGGTGCTGAGGACGCCGCGCGCTGGGCCCGGGCTGGGGCTCCCGAGCGACGCTGGCCATGGCGAGCGGTGCCTCCAGGTACCGGCTGAGCTGCTCGCTCCTGGGCCACGAGCTGGACGTGAGGGGCCTGGTGTGCTGCATCTACCCGCCCGGGGCCTTTGTGTCGGTATCCCGGGATCGCACCACCCGCTTGTGGGCCCCGGACAGGTGAGCGCTGCGGGGCTGCAGGCTCGTGGGAGGAGCGACCCTTCTTCCCGTCTGTATACTTCTCCCTCTCTGCTGGCGTCTCCTCTGCTCGCGCCTCGCGGTGGATTCCAGAGCTCTGGCACCCTGGGCGAGCAGCCTGGCAGCCCAGGAAAATGGAGGTGGAGTGAGTGTGGGATTGGGGGCCCTGACTGCTTGTCCTGACGTGACCAGTAATCGGCCTTGGCCCTGGACGGGCATCGTGGCTATTAGGGGCTTCCGCTTTGGCAGAGTATCTCCCTCCCAGTGCGGGTAAAGGCGTCTGGCATGGCCCCGCGCTCTGCGCGCAGGAGCTGCTCAGTGGCCTTCCCCCACCTCGTTTGTGAAGACCCCAGTTCCCAGGTTACAGCATGGAGTCCTCTGGGGTTGTCTGGGGTCTGATTCTCCGAGGACGGGATAAAACCCTGCAAATGTTTATTGTATAGTAATGTGCTGTTTTCTTGAAGGAAAATAAATGAGCATTGCCTTCAAAACTCAAACCTGCAAGGTCCACCCTAACCCGCCCCCCCCCCCCAAAAAAAAGGTTAACCAAAAGATGAAAATTCAGTTCAGATCAAAATCAAGGGTTAAATCTTCGTTTCGGAAGAAATTTAAGACCTAATAAATGGTTTTCCGTTTTCATAAAAATGGAGGCTAGCTGTTGAGTGTCTTCTGCATTTTTATTCTGGGGAGAGTAAAACTGACAAGCTCTCTGCCTGTGGTGCTTCTTGTAGTCTCCCGGGCAGGTATGGATCAAGAAACAAACAGGTGATTACAGAAAATGGACCTGAAAGGAATTAGGTTAGGGGGACATTAAAGAAGTGAGCTTTGAGGGGTACACGTGTTTGATTTTTTTTTTTTTCTTAAGATGACAGCTAGATTAGGAGATGTATTGAGTTACTGTCGGAAGGATGGAGTGGTTTGAGGTGGAAGAGCTGGAATGGAAAGCGCTCTCTAGGCCCCTGGAGGAGCAAACGTGGAGGCCCTGCATTGAGAAAGGAAGGGAATCAGCTGTGACAGAAGGGGCAGGTCTTAAAGTCTGGCAGGTGCAGGGTCGTTGGGTTTGTAAGAAGAAACAAATAGTTTCAAGCAGGGAGTAGTATGGTTTGATTGGTAAGAAGTTTCTGGTGGAAAATAGATTTTAAAAAGGGGTGAATGTAGCATTATATGTATTGGATGGCTCTTGTAGTGCAGCCAACACATGATGGTAGGCCAGACTAGGGATATTACAGAGCAAACTCCTGTATTGAATTGGATGACATGGTTTCCCCAGTCTCTTCTAATTCTTAAGATTCTGGGATGTCCAAATCACTCACTAAAACTAATAGGTAACTTTTTATGCATCTGAATATAATTATTGATGATATTTTTGCCTTTAAAACTGACTCCTTGATCAAACTCAGTAAATAAACTTCAAAAAACATTGCAGTGTAGTGTATAGCTTGGTGCTTACTTTGTGTGAGGCATTGGATTTAATGCTCAGCAAATACATAAAATTAAGTCTAGTAAAAGCATTTCTAGAAGAAAAACATTACAGTAAGGAGCACCTATTCTAAAGGAGGTATTTTTCTTTTTTTTTTTTTTCTTTTTTTTTTTGATATTTTTGAGACAGGGTCTCCCTGTAGCCCCCAGCTGTCCTGGAACTCACTATGTAGACCAGGCTGGCCTTGAACTCACAGAGATCCGCCTGCCTCTGCCTCCAAAGCGCTGGGATTAAAGATATGCACCACCATGCCTGGCTAGGAGGCCTGTTTTAATAGTTGAATCTTGGCATTAAACTTCTGCATTCTGTAAAACTGTATACTAGGTTGACAAAGACTTAAATAACTAGTAGTTGTGTTTACCCATGGCTGAAGTGATCTGTTTGGAAACTGGTTCTTTTCATTCAAGTCATGTTTCTGCTCAAAATTTCATGTATTTTTCTTTTTTAGAATATTTAAAAAGCTTAAAAATATAATGTGTATGAGTGTATTGCCTGCATGTATGTACATACACCTGTGTTATGTAGTGCCCGAGGCCAGATCCCTTTATAGACTGTTAGCCACCATGTAGGTGCTGGGATTTGAACCCAGGTCCTCTGCAAGAACAGCCAGTGCTCTTAACTACTGAGCCATCTTTCCATATGTTTTTAATTAATTTTTAGATAATTTATTGAGAACTTCATACATGCATATAAGGCGTTTTGATCAAATCTATGCCCACTCTCTCCCCTCCGATTCCTCTCGTATCTCCCCATCACTTTTTTTCTGATAACTTCATATACTCTTTTTTCCTTTCTTTTTTTTTTTTTATGGGGCTTTTGGCTACTCTAACATTCCCCCTTCTGAAGAGGTAACCCTAAAATCTCTTAAAGATTAGTTAAAAGCTCCCAAATACTTTCAACATTTTTGGCTTTTGGAACGGAGTATATGTTGCTAAGAGGCCTAAGGACATTGTGAGTTTTAGCCAACAAACTGGCTACCTTTCTTTGGGGTCTTTTTACCCTAACTGCCTAGCCAATTCCTACCTCCTATTCTTATCACGCCATCCTCTGAAGAGGTTACCCAAATTGCTGCTAGGGAATCGGGATGCAGACTGCTCTGGCTTCATCCATGCTGAACAAGGATGCAGGGTGAGGCAATTGGGGTAGCACTTCAGTGGGTCTATCTAAAGCACTCCCAAATTGTATAACTCTAGGGAGAAAAGAAAGTTCTTAACTGGTGAATAGGGGACGTGAAGGAGAAGTAAAGCCAAGAGTAATTAGCATTACAAGTTCCAGACAGGGAGCTAGAAAAAAGTCAGAACAGAGCAATTTTCAAATGTTCATATGAGAGTCCATTGGAATTTATTGACAAGGGCTTCCAAAAGCATCCCTCTTTGGGTTCCTCATTTTTCTTTTGTCTGCCAAGGCTGGACTCGAGAGGGATGGATTTAGGATTTGCTTTCAGGTATTTTGATAGCTGTTGGAGTGGTTAGAATTAGTGTCAGTTCCCTCTCAAAGGCTTCTGGATAGGGGGAGAAAATTAATTTATCTATCATTTTAGAACAATAGCGGATTGTCTCCCTTAGCTACAGGTGGGCATTACAGTATTGCAGACCAAGATTTGAAATTTTATGTCTGAGCAGCACTTTCTGATTAGGAACAAAATCATCAATGAAAAATAATTGTCTAAATAACTTTTTATATAGACTTAAGCCTAATGTCTGGGAAGTGTAATCCCTTGAACTCTTAAAGAAATATACTGATGACTTTACTCTTTGGTTATATTTTCCTTTTGGATGTTTATGACCATACACTTGGCCCAAATAAGTTGATTTATTTTTACACTTAAGGTCATTTGAGGATCTGTTCCTTGGGATCACAAGGGCTTGGGAGAAGCTCCTGGCTCCTTTCTTTTACCAGTTCCATCTATGTGAAGATAAGTCAAAGGTCCTGCTTGACTCTGGTTGGCTTCACTTGGAAGCATGAACGAAATGTTTCCTCTGAGTTGATCCTCATCTTTGTAGACTGGACACTGGTTCAAGCCCACCTCGTGGGTCTCCATGGCCTCCCTGAACAAGATGTCACATGACTCCCAACATTTACAGGACATTTTGAGAGATGTTCCATAGTCCCCTGGAACTTGGCCGACCTTGGAGGGCAAGGGGCATAAACTGTCCTTTAAGTCCCTCTGACCACATTTGTATAGGCCTTAAAGTATGGCTGTTAAATATTCCATAAGATTAGTTGCACCAGTCTGGTACTTTTAATTATCATGTGCTATGTAGATAAGGCTTCAGTGAAAAAACAAATATTCTTAGATAAACCTTGACTGCATATATTTTATTCCTTAAACTAGTTGATTAAACTATGACCATAGACATTTTAAGATTATGTGTATATTACTTTTGTCTCATCCTTTATTTATCATAACAAACCTACACCACAGACCTTCATCACTTGCTTAGGATTTCTCACTTTAATATCCCCGTTCCCATATCCTTTTAATATCTTTTACATTCTCATTCTTTTTTTTTTTTAGTAATTATGAGACATAATAGCATAACAAACCTAAACAGACCTGTATCACTTCCTTAGGCTCTCTTATTTTTTCTGTCTTATTTTGGAAAATATCTCCATTTCCTATATCCTTTTAATATCTTTTACATTCTCATTTTCTTCTTCTTTTTTTTTTTTAATAATTATGAGACATTAACAAATACATTTTCCATCTGTTGTGAAACTTCTTTTCCTGGGGATGCTAAACAATGCCTATTCCCTTTTAAGGTTCTAGTGTCAAGCCAATGTTTGATTAAAGTTTTACTGGGGAAAAAATGAATTTATTGAGCTAACTTACCAGGTAACTGAGGGGTTGCTGAAGTGTATGTATGACCTGAGGGTATGCACACTGGAAAGACTTTACCCAGCATGAGTCATGCCTTCTATTTCTGGCCTTCCCCAAACTGTATACTTTAGCCCTCCCAAAATCCAGGACTACAGGCATGCACCACCACGCCTGGCTAAATCAATTTATTTTTACACTTAAGGTCATTTGAGGATCTGTTCTTCAGGGGTCACATGGGCTTGGGAGGAGCTCCTGGTTCCTTTCTTTTACCAGTTCCATCTATGTGAAGATAAGTCAAAGGTCCTGTTTGACCATGTCTGGCTTCACTTGGAAGCATGGATGAGATGTTTCCTCTGAGTTGACCCTCAAATATTAGGTTGTCAAATATCAGGTGGCTGAAATTGTGTGTACTTGGGTTTGGGTCTTCAATGATGTTCCATTGATCTATGTGTCTATTTTTGTGCCAGTACCATGCTGTTTTTATGACTATAGCTCTGTAGTATACTTTGAGATCTGGTATAGTAATCCCCCCAGTGTTGCTCTTTGTGCTCAGGATTGCTTTGGCTATCTGGGATCTTTTGTGCTTCCATAG